GTTCGGTCGATTTTTTCTGTTTGACCGAACTATGCTCACCCCTAGGTAAAAGAGTCAAAGAAGTTGCTATAGGAAGTCTATCTCACAACATCAAACCGTGGGGATAATAAATTCCAAGCTAAAACCCTATTGTGCCATCTACTTTTCAATTATGTACCCACACTTGTATTTGATAATATGAAAACATCCTAAAAATTTTTAAACTTGCACTTATATGCCCTCACTTATTTTTATGTAGCACTTATATACTCTAAAGTTATTAAAACTTGTACTTAAATACCCTCAAATTTGCATAATTGAGTGTGTATATGTGCAAATTTTAAAAACTTTCAGGTATTTAAGTGCTAGTTGTAAAAACTTTAGCGTATCTAAATGCTAGTTGTGAAAACATTTGGGTATTTAAGTGGCCTTTAAAAAAGTGAGGGTATATAAGTTCAAGTTTTAAAAGCTTTACGATATTTTTGCTACTAAATACAAGTTGGGGTACATAAATGAAAGTAGTTGAAACACAGAGTACATAAGTGCTATTTAGCCTAAATTCCAAAATGCGAAGCTCTAAGGGGTTTACACGCAATTAATCATCCTAAGACTTCTCCAAATTGATTATGAAAATAAATTTGATTATGTTTTGTTGCACACATGTTCTAAACAAACCAATTGTATAATAAGGAGTTGTTTGTTTCCTCGTATTTAGTGGGTTTTGCATTGAGAAATGGGACCCATAAATTTAAAATCCTAGATAATTTTTATCAAATACAATGTTTGTTGGGCATTCTTCATTTCACAAATTTCAGGTTGCTATGTAAGATAGTTGCATCAAATATGATTTTCTAAAATTATACTAATTTTGATTAGATTTGTGAGTTTAGTTACATATCCCAGTAAAGTTAATGCACAACAAAATAAAACTTAGTTGCGTTTTAACCCTCATTCAAATTCTCTTTCAATATCCATCATAGACCAATAAAAATATTAAAACATGAGTTTTTCAAAATCCATTGCATGCATCAAGATGTAATCAACAAATTAAAGAGCCCCTAAGAGTTTCCATTAGATTGAAATGAGTGTACAATTTCTCACATTACAGCTTGTAAGACTTCTCCAAATATTTTTACAGGGAAATTAAAGCATATTAGATGAGTATCTTAAGAAAACCGATTCGGATCCTCTCTAATTATGTGGGCCTCAAATCCCTCTAATCATTGCTATACATTTCGAATTTAAGGACGAGATTAGGCCATGCGATAAAACCACTACGGTCTTAAAAATCACTATTTTTCAAAAACCACTATTTTTTGAGAACCACTATCACCATAATTGGAACCCTACATGGTTTAATATCACCCATTAAATTTGGAATGTACGACAATAATTGGAGGAATTGGAGACTCTTTAATAAGTTTCTTTTCAGAGAGAGAGAGAGAGAGAAGTATTTTTCTTAAGATTTAGATCTGCTTCATGGTTATAGTTAAGATGTTTTCTCAATTCCATTTCTAGTAAATATTTCTCATGATATCTAGACTTTTGCATACAATTAATAAGCATGTTAAAATGTATGGTACATATAAAAGAAAGCTCCAAATCGATGACCACATTCAAAACAATCTTGATCAAAATCTTATAACAAAAGTGATAGTGTTAATTTTCTTTACTTCCAATGTTAGGATGTGTGATTACATTCACACGCGAATGCTTCAATGAGTTTAGATTCAAGAGAACCAAATACTACGGCAAGTCGCAACTAATGAGCAAAGGAGCATTCACGGAGTAGGCCATGTTGGAAATTGTGGTTAAATCTGGAATTAAACAGAGGAATTTAGATGTGATGTTATTTTAATTTTTTCAATTAACTGATGTGCATTTGTGAAACACTGTGCTTAAAGCAATATTTAGCCTATTCCGATGCAAGGATCCCAAGGCCAAACTGCTTCCAGGAATAGCAGTATAATACCCTAGTGTGCACCAACCCAGAACTATCAAGATCTCCTCGATCTATAAGACTTTTCGGTCAAGGCAAAAGATCTCCTTGATCTTAGAACCTTTTGGTTCAAAACCTTTTGATTTTAGGGGTCCTGCGGGCACAGTTTCTGCAGCAGCAGCACAACAACAGCAACAACAACGTCGATCCGACATTCGTTTTCCAAGCTCGCGTGTGTATACCGACGTTCGTATTCTATACCGATGTTCATATTACACGCTCGCGAGAGAGTTTTCAGCTGCAACCAAGAGCTGCCCAAGCACGCTATTTATAGCTCTCTAAGGCCAGCTCAAGAGTCACACGCAATTAATATGACTGTTACAATTATTAATGGCAATTAAGATTATAACATCCATGCATTAAATTGCTCTAAATGCTATTGTAACTGCTGCATGCAGTAACTCCTGAATACGAGGCAATCAATGGACGCGTTGCTACGAAACGCGAGGGTCACGTCTCATCAAATCAGACGAACCTCGTTTGACAAACGAACATCATCAAACAGGCGAACCTCGTATGACAGACGAACCTCGTCGAACGAGCGAATATCGTCAAAGGCGAACCTCGTATGACAGACGAACCTCGTCGATCGAGCGAACCTCGTCAAACATGCGATTAACAATATATATATATATAGTTTGAAAACTCATTTTGGAAAGCAGTTTTGACCAAAAAACCCAACAGGCCCTAGTTTCTATAAAGCACAGCTAAGTTTGTACAAATGCGAGCAGATTGATTTTCAACGTTCAATACATACAGATGCATAAAAACACAGCACCAAAAGCAATCTATCCCTTCACATTTCCTCCATTTCCTATGCTTTTTATTTTGTGATCATTTTATACATATCTTAAAAATATACCCTTGCTTCACTTTAGATTGGGTTTAAGCATTACGCTATGTTAGGATGGGGGGTAAAGAGAGTAAAAGGAAGAGAATTTTAAGTTTAACTTTGTTTTGGGAGTTTCGTTAGGAGAGTAAAGATCATTATCAAAAGATAAATGACATATATAGTTTATAAATTAAAAAAGGCAGAAGTTGCTTTTGAAAGCATTCTGAATTTGCTTCTAAAAGCGCCAACTTAAAAGCAGAAGCAATTTCAATAAGCATATATAAACAAATTCATTAAACATTATAATTTGTTGCTTCTAAAAAAAGAAACAAATAAATAAAATAAAATAAGGAAGCGCACTAAGAAAAATCAATACCAAACTAGCAAGTCTTAAATTCCTTTTTTTAATAGAAAGTCTTTAATTTCTGAATCCTTTTTAAGGAATCAAGCATTTTGGTTCTTATACTTTATCGTCTCGTTTGGTACGTGGGAATAAATTCAAGTGAGAATGGAATGGAAGAATGAATAGAATGGAATGTATGTGAGAATGGAATGGTCATTCTCATTCTCTTGTTTGGGTGCGTTTGTAGAATGAAGCTAGAATGAAAATCTAATTCTCATTCCCATGTTTGGTATCACTAGCTCACAAGTGAGAATGAAATCTCATTTTCTAATAATGCCCTTATAACAACATAGATTTTTAATAAGATAAAAATAAACATTAATGATAATAACTAAAAAAATTTATTTATGCATATGTTATATTAATCTAGATATGTGTTATACTAATGCACATGTTATCGATCAGGTGTATGTTTCATTTATATTTTTTAAACAATTCTCACTATTTCTGCAGATGTTATATTGATCTAGGTATGTGTTATAATAATGCCCTTATACCTCTATATATAGTCTAGACATGATATGGTTTTGATAATTTTAATATTTTGGCCAATTTCTCAGCGAGAGTTTCCTCTTTTCATAAATATTGGATCAAATATTTTTTAATCAAAAGTTAGATTTATTGTTGTGCATAAACCACAATCAAACATGTACGCAATAGGTACATATAGTTCTCTATGGTGGGAAAACAGTAGCAAAAGTTCAAAAAAAATATAATTTGCTGGTGAAAATAACAGACTTTAAACATTGGTGAATAAACAAAAAAAATTGATTGACCAAAAAAAATATAAACATTGGTGAATAAACAAAAAAAATTGATTGACCAAAAAAAATATTGACATGAAAGAATTTCAATCGGCAAATAATATATAGTTTCACATGAAAGAATTTCAATCGGCAAATAATATATAGTTTCAGTTGTATCTGTTTTTATATTAAATTGTGTTATTCCTATGTTGAGCAATTGTGATATAATAGGCTAATGAAATATGTACCGCTAGTTTTAATATGCTATTGAAATACGTACCACTAGTTTTAATCCCTACCCCGCAAAAAATTCCTATTGTTCGAATATAATTAGTAGCTGAGAGAAAATGAGAATACGTAGTCAAAAGCCATGATTTTTAAATTTATTCTTATTATTAATAGGGGTATAATTGAAAAAAAAAACCTAACTAATTTGATTCTCCCCTTGAATGGGAATGATCATTCTCTATATTCTCACTTGGAATGCTCATTCCCACAAAAAGTGGGAATGGTCATTCCATGAGAATGGTCATTCCAACATCTAAAAGCAAGTTTTGTTTGGTATGAGAGAATGAGAAGTGAGAATGACATTCCATTTCACCTCATTCCCTCGTACCAAACGGAGCCTAAGGAGATTGTGATCATTTTGTCTTATAAACAACCTAAGCCCAACTGACAACAACAAATACACATACTGCACTGTACAAACAACATGATTACATCCGAGCGTTACGGGACCTTAACTTATTAACCTAAACCACCACTCAAAACACCAAGGTCCTTTAACTTCGCATAATTAAACACACATATATATATATAACATCTGTACTAATACATAAAAAAAAATACTAATTTGGCCCTAAACCCTGAGTAAGATCACAAACACTAATCCTAGTTAAAACCTCGAACCCTCCTCCACGTACCTAACAAAAAGATTACGTCGGGCAATAACGGAATATTCCGTTCGATGCCGTCCTCGGCCGTCAGCAGAAGAGTCCAACGGCGTCCCAGCAATTAAAAACACCAAGAAAGGGACGTAAAATGGGAAGGGAGGCCTAAAGCCAGCAACAAATTATTCTCCAATAAAATATTCAGTGGACATTTTCTCTGCTGTTTTATTCAACGTTATAATATAATTTGTGAAGTTTGTGCGTGGCTATTTACTTGCTTTCAGCCTCTCGTTTTGGGTGTCGATTCCTCGGGCCGCTCGGAATTCGGAGGTAGGATCGAAATAGCTTTCAGTCTAAAATATTTCTCTAACCCATCGTTTGATTGTGTTGTAATGAACAAATCTGCAAGCGTGCTGGGTTGGGTCTTAATTTGTTTAATTAATTGCATCATTTGACACTGTTTATGTTGAAATTTTTGTAAATTGGTCTCCCTTTGTTCGTACCCTCTATTCCACCGGAGGCTGAGTTGATTTCCTTCGAACCCGTTGTATGAATTAATTGCGATGAAGGAAGCTAATCATTTGGATCCCTGACTATATGAATGATCACAACGAAGTCTTCTTTTAGGGATGATGTTGTTATTTTGAAGCAACATTAATTTTTTGTTGTTCCCCAAGTTGATCGAATGATTCTTAGGATCATATCATTAACATAATAAATAGAATAAAAAAAAATTCCTCTCCTCTGCCCTCCTTGTTATGTGCAAATGTCCCTTCCTTCTTCCTAGAACTCTCTGTATTCTCGTTCTCGTCATGATCTTGAAGCCTTTTTACATCAAAACGAGTAATTTACGAAGTCTCAAGTTCGTGACGAATCTGATGGCAGCTCGAAACTGGTCAAAATTGAAGTTCGTAGACAGAGGAAAAAATGGACGAGGACTTGTAACAAATTCTAGAAGGCCGGTTGGTATGTTGGAAAGATTTTTCTTATTTGTCAAGTACTTGAAGCTCATTGTCAACAAATACTGCCCCCAATATTCTCCCTCGTAGGAAAAGACTTCAAAAGAAGGGAGGGGATATTGGTGGATAAGTTGAAGGGTGCAACAGTCAACTTGAAGGGCCAAATCGCAAAATATGATTCTGGAACTCATGCGTTTCATACTCTGATCATGTTATTGATGTGTATATTCATCAAATTTGAAGACAGAATTATTACCCTGGCGGAGAGAGGAAAAAAAAAGCTCGTAAGCTATATAAGAGATCAGGCAATACATTTTTTGAACCGTTCAAGAGACTGTGTTATATTCGTATTTTCATATACCTTGTGTATCTATGAGAGTGCTGTTTTTGTCCCAATACTAATCTTAACCGAAATCGGGCATACTGTGACTTTCATTACAGGGCAATTCGCAGCTTAGAACCAAGGAACGGGGACAAGGAGGAACATAATGGGTATAAACAGTGAAGGAAACAACTCCGACAATCCTGGGACGTCATCAAGACAGCGATTGCGGTGGTCAAATGATCTCCACGAACGGTTTGTGGATGCCGTCGCACAACTAGGTGGACCAGATAGTAAGTGCCTCTGAAATAATTGGATATCGTCTATACAAACATTGTGCAAAGTATTACACTTGTAAACTCCATTGTTTCATTCCAAAAATTATCAAGGTATTCCCCCAGTTTACCGCTTTCGTCCCTGACTCTCTTATAATTGTAACTGATGAAGAGAGTAAGCTAAAGGGCTGTATCTACTACTGTGGCAAGAGATCTTCAGATTTTCTCTCATCTTGGCCTCTGGGTGCTTGGCGAAGTCACTACTAAAACATGTGATTGTAGTTTTGTTCTCCGTCAACTACTTTATTTGCTAGTTTATTGTCATATTCAAGTAGTATTCACCTGCATCCACAGAAATTTGGGAATATTTTAAGTCCTACTCAAGCGAATGCTTAAGCTTTATGCTCGAGTTTTCGCATCAAGAGCTTAAAAAATTGCAAGTGCATCATAAACTTTGATAGGTGTAAATACATTAGAATTCTGGAGCGAAACAATGCGTCTAAGGACTCTGATGATGTATTAATCTGTGAATAGTGTTTTCTCTTTGATAGGAGCCACTCCTAAAGGTGTTCTCAAGGTCATGGGTGTGCCTGGGTTAACAATATACCATGTCAAAAGCCACTTGCAGGTATTCAGGCCAAAGTATATGAATGTTCTTTCTATCATGTTTTCCCTGTTTCTAATTTATTTATGCTTTTACCTGATCTCATGTTTTGTTTTGTTTAGAAATACCGGCTTTCAAAGTATCTCCCAGACTCTACATCTGATGGTAAATTCACTTTTGTTGAAGAATTATGAAGACTTATATTTAGCAGAAGGATACCTTAATTTAACAACAACTCGAGTATAATGTTAATCTAATTCATGGAGCATAATTTTCTTGTGTGCAGGTAGTAACGTTGAGAAGGGAGAGCAAGAGGGCCAGTTGTCAACCATTGACAACTCTTCGTAAGTGAAGAAAAAAACTATTTGCTAGCACATATTTTGTAATTTTATGCTTTCATGAGCTGCCTATTCTGTTTTCTTTTTTCCCCTTTAATAACTAAATTGTTCACAACTCAAGTAACTTGTGTAGGTTTAATGTGCAATTGCTGGCTGCCACTAGTTAGCTGATAGCAAGCACAGTTAAGAAATAAGAGGCCGTGTTCATTAGATACAAGTACGAAAGTGCGAAGTATATAGATTGTGATCACAAAATTTTTAAATAATAAAAGAGTATAAGATTCCATCAGATAAGGGAGAAATACTTTCAGATCTGTTTATATTGAAATCGGTTTGCATCTCTAATTCTTATCTCGTGTTGTTTCGTTGTACTTCGTTACCATTGACTCTTATCTGAGTTAAAGTGATGACTATGTGATCAGTAACATCCTTCATTTTTTTTGTCAGGGGGATGCAAATAACAGAAGCTTTAAAGTTGCAGATGGAGGTGCAAAAGCGGTTACACGAACAATTAGAGGCAAGCATTAACCTAACATGACCTTTATTCTTCTGCGTATTCTGCTGTATTCTTGGACATAAATATAGTTGGTATGTGACCTTGATAAGTTGATTTTGCATTAGCTGGGAAGTCCTCTCCTTCTGGTTGAACGAATTTAGCATTCATGAAAGGAAAAAAAAAAAGATATTCTCTTATTATACTTGGTAGCCTATACTTTAGTTACGTGATGAGTGCCCTGACCTTCAGAAAAACACCTAATGGGCTAATAACCTATAGACTCAAAACCATAAATCATAGCTCCAATTATTTAGTTCAACCTGAATATTCTTATTTAATAAGCGAACTCCATTTCACTTGTGCCAAACAATAGAATAACTGGTTAGGAATAAAGTACTTTCGCTAAAAAATAGATATTAAATGGCCATGACTTGGATTTTACTCTGTAACTGCTATCTTAGAGTTCAAAAGGGGTATCCGACAATCAAAAGACGATCGTTTCCCTCTCCTATTAATGTCGCGGCTTCAAAGGATATCATCTGCTATAGGACGAAATCTTATAAATTTCTTGTTATTGCAAAATTTCTCCACTGGCTTCCTGCTCGGCCGTTACATTGATCACTTATCCACGCCATGGCTTCTCTCCACACTGCTCCAAATAATCTCTTATATGTTCTTGTTTTTAAGTTACTAAGTTATCTTTGTCTTTGCTAATTTCTATAGGTCCAAAGACAGCTGCAGCTAAGGATAGAAGCCCAAGGCAAATACTTGAAGAAAATAATCGAAGAACAACAGAAGGTCAATGGTGACGGCAATATCCCAACTCCAATTCCAACCAATATATGCCATGACTCAGACAAGACTTACCCTTCAACCCCAGCTCCAACTTCTGAAGAAAAACCCACACGTGATGACCATGGGCTCTATAACGGACATTTGCACAATGAATCTGTCGCCTCTCAACATGAGCCATTGACTCCAGACTCCAGCGGACGCGATGATTCCCCCTTTAGGAGTCCACAGAATGAGTACCCGAATAAAAAGCAGAGGAGTGAGAATTTTGTTCTCTCTCATCAGATTCTTGAATCTAGTTCAAGCTCGGGTTTTCAGCAGCCAGGCTTGATGTTTCCTGTTGTGGGGTCACATTTTGATTCTCCCTTTGGCAATTGATTGAGAAGTGAATTATTTCAATTTTAATTGTAAGAGAAATGTTGTGCCTCTCGAATCTAACCTCAAAGTAGAGAAAGAATTCTCTTACTCTATAACAGCAGACGATGTTAGCAGCTTCTCCCGGGTATTACTTCTGATATGTAGCATGTGCTAAGATAATTATATCCTATGAGCATTTAGGGTGTTTGCGAGATGTTGATTCTTTCATTGTCGATAAGTATTGTGTCGAGGAAACTTATATGTTTATTCCTTCTTTGTCATAAGAAACTTTTTTATGAACAGTTGTGATGATGTTTATACAATTATACCTTCATTCTCCATAAGAGTTTTTTTTTTTAATGAACAGTTGTGATGATTTTTTACGGGATAGTGTTATTTACTATTATTGTTGTCTAGATGAGCATTTGTTTGATTTGGTATGGAGTCTTATACGCTGGAACAGAGGACTCTAGTTTTGTTCCAAAAAAAGTACATGACAAGAGATAACAGTAAGCTTCGAACTTTGTCATGGAAAAAAGTACAGAATTCATGGCTCAAGTCAATAAAAAAATGGTCCTATTTGCTGTATAGGTCTCTTCTAATATATTTGTTAAAACTTATATTTCGCATTCTCCTAATTGTTGTCTTTCTTATGTGAAATAATCAAATAATCTTATGACAATGATAGACAAACCTTTCAATTTTATCTCCAATCTAATGATGCAGTAATATAATTTAATAATATTAAAATTGATTATTTTCATTTAATTAACTTAATCATGAATAATTTTTTTCTGAACAATAATCACTTTAAGAAAGTATTAAAAATTTATTTCTTAAAAGCTTGGGAGGAGGGAAAATAAGGAATGGCCATTATACGGAAGGGTATATAGCAATTATGAAAAAGTGGAGGAAGGTAAACTCATAACTTCCCAAATGGAGTGAAATAAGTTCCCCTTAGTTCTCCTTACTAATTTCCCAAACAAGTTTTACATATTCCTTTACCTTCCCTTAACTTAACTTAGCCTATGTTCCATTCACTAAGTGCGAATCCAAACAAGTTCTAAAGGGTTGTTTGTAAAATTTTAGGGGTTGTTTAGAATTTTAAACTTTTAGGGGGTGTTTGTAAATTCTTTGGGGCTTTTTGTAAAAATTTAGGCAGTTATTTGTAATATTTTAGAGAATTATTTGTAATTTGAAAACTTTTATCAACTATTTGTAAAATTTTTAGGGGAATCAGGACTGTTTATAATTTTTGAAATTCGGAGACTATTTGTAATGTTCAAGACTTTTTAAGAAGTTGTCTGTAATTTTAAAACTTTCAGGGGAGTCAGCGTTCGGTCAGTAAAGCAAAAGGAAAATGATAAAAAAAATCTTGCTACATCAACAATTACTAAAAAAATTAACAAGAGGTTTTGTTGATAACAAGTAAGCGTTAGGGGCCTCCTTTGATGACTTTAAAATTTTAACAATAGGGAACCTATTAAAACGGCCCTTATAAGAGTGGTGCAATATACTCTATAGAAAGAAGAATTGTGATTCCTAAGCTAACTCTCTAAACACCATTGGATGTTGTAGATCACCTCTTTTTATAATGTGTTCCTATAGAATTTACTCAAAATTTGAGGATTCAAATGAAATTTGTCTAAAACATTAATGTCTCATTTGGTACGCTAGAATTGAGTCAAATGAGAAAGGAATGAAGGTAGGAATGAAATGAAATTGATGTGGAAATAGATTGCTCATTCTCATTCTCATGTTTGGGTGAGATTAGAGAATTAATAGAAATATCTTTAATTAGGTTTTATCCAAAATTTATTTTATTATTTTCATTCTCACTTAAGTGAAAATTTCAATTCCTTAATAATTCATTGGGAATATCAATTCTCACGCTAATGGTGTGTTTGGGAGATGACTTGTTTTCATTCCTTCGCTTTTCCTTCTTTACCCCTAATTTTTATTTTGGAGGGGGGGGGGTAAGATTTTAATTCAAATTTTCCCCCTCATTCCTCTCCTACCCTTCTAAATGGACCTCCCAAACAAAAATAAATCAAAATTTTCATTTATCTTCCCTTCTCTGTGATCACGTGAGTAGGGGGAACGCGGTTTCAAACCGCATGAAGCACAAGCCTACGTGAAAATACAGCAAGGCCGGCCCACCCAATATTTGTTATATAAATAACAACGTTGTGATCTCTTGTTTTTGGGCGTGTGAGGTTTACGGCTACGGGAAAAGGCTGCGGACATGGATTTTTTTTGACTTGCGGTTGCGGTGAAAAAGGGAAAAGAGTTTTTGGTTTTTGTGTGGCTGCAGGAGAAAAGCGCAGGCAACGGTTGCTGTTGAGGAGATTTTGTGTAGTCTCTTTTAGGGTTTTGTGCATCCTTGAGAGAGTTTTGTATGAGGGATTTGAGAGTTTGTTTGAGGGTTTAGATTGAGTGATTGTAAACCCTAGTTATATTATCTCCCTCTCTCCCCTTCTTGCCCTGTGGACGTAGGCAATTTGCCGAACCACGTAAAATTGGTTGTATCGTTTTTGTGTGATTTGTAATAATTTTTAGGATCCCTCGACAAGTCAGTCTTAGAACTGATGAGAGGAAGAGCCGATATCTCACTTTGTTGAGATATTCGCTTCAGATTCTTGTTTTCTAGGTGAGACGGGAATTCTTATTGCGATCTGACTTTCTTGTTGTGCTGCCGAAGTGCTGCCGAAATTTCTGCTGCGTAACAAGTGGTATCAGAGCCAGGTTTCAGATCTAGGGTGTTTTGGATTTGGTGGAGGAAGATTTTGTGTGAAGCTTGGTTCTTGGAGTTCTAGGATCTAGGGTGTTTTGGATTTGGTGGAGGAAGATTTTGTGTGAAGCTTGGTTCTTGGAGTTCTAGGCTTTGGTGGAGATAGCATTAGGAGTTAAGATTTTGTGTGAAGCTTGGTTCTTGGAGTTCTAGGCTTTGGTGGAGATAGCATTAGGAGTTGCCGTTGAAGATTTCGCTTTCCTTATGTGGATAGGAGATCTATTTGGAATCCGATCTAGGGTTCAGTTGGGTGGTTCCTAACTTCTATTAAATTTATTCTTTCTCTACAATTTGGAGTTAGTTTGCAATGGGAGAAGAAGGTGAAAGCAGCAAGTCGATGGAGAGTACAATACAAGTTAGTTTTCAGAACACTAAAATTAGTATGGTGAAGTATGACAGTAAAATCAACTTTGGTTTGTGGATGAGCGACGTACAGGATGCGCTCAATGCTCAGAATTTGGAAGAGACCATCATGGTCCATGAGAAGCCACCTAAATATGATGAGGTGGTATGGGAGAAGATGAATAGGAACGTTTGTGGGGTGATCAGGTCATGTTTGGAACAGGAACTGAAATATGATGTGATTGGGGTGACGTCTGCAATGAAGATATGGGAAATTCTCAACAACAAGTATCTCACGAAGAGTGTTGAGAACAGGTTGCACTTGCTGCGAAGACTCTTCAGATTTCAGATGTCCAGAGGCACCTCGCTAGCGGCTCATGTGAACAACTACACTAAGTTGTTGTCGGACTTGGCGAACGTGGATGAGAAGATCACAGATGAGTACAAGGCGATTATTTTGTTGGGCTCCTTACCGGATGAGGAGTATGATACCTTCGTGCTCACTTTGTTGAACGGGGGATCTTCTATCAGTTATAGTGAAGTGACTAACGCATTGACCAACTATGATTTGAGGAGGAAGGATAAGGAGACTTCCCGCGCTAGTACTTCAGGAGAGGCCTTGTCGACGAGAGGTAGAAGCCCATATCCGAAAGGTGGTAATCGAGGAAGGTCAAAGTCAAGAGGTCGTCACCAGCTTGGAAAGAACCAATGTGCATTCTGCAAGGAGCAGGGACATTGGAAGAGAGACTGCCCAAAGGTCAAAGAAAAGGAGAATAGCAAGAAAAAGGGCCCGAAGGCCAATGATGTGAATGTTGTTGTTTGTGGGAAAATTTGCAGTAAAAAGACAATAAAGGAAAATTTGATTTGTATTCCTTTAATCTCAGTTACAATTGGATTTCCTGATTACAAAAGAGAAGAGAATGAATTTGATTCTCTCCTCGAACGTCTTGATTCACTGGAACGATGTCTTCTCCTCCCGATTTGACGTTGTGGAGAACTTGCGTGGCAAGTTTGAAACTCTGGACGAGTTGATAACTCTGAATGAATTGGAAACTCTTGAAAAAGAGTTGATTTGAACCGAGAATCGGTTCTCAAGCCAAGGATGAAGAAGCTCTTGTTGCCGATCTCCAAAGCTCCAGAAATGCTCTAAGGATCCTGTTGACTAGCCAAGAAGTTCCAACAAATCGACCCTGAAAGATCCAGCCCTGATCTGATTATCAAAAATCTGATCTTTAACTCTGTTGAGTTTGTTGTTATTTATAGGGGATTAAGGGGTGTAACCACCTCCTTAATTCGCTCCTAAGTGGGGCTAATGGGATGTAACCGCCCCCCTTAAATCACTCCTGAGTGGAGTTATGATCCCCTCAGATCGTGGGAAACGGTTTTGAAACCGTTCAGCTCGAGTCAAACGCAGGCCCGCGTTCTGGTATGAATTTTGTCTCCAAACGCAATGCCTAAAAGCTTGAACGCAGCATCTGGAAGCTCGGACGCAGCGTTTGGAAGCTCATTTGCAGCGATTTAAGAGCTGCGTTTGGCAGCGGATCTGAGCTGCGTTTGGAGCTGGATGTGACCTGCGTTTACAGCGTTTGAAGGCTGCGTTTACAGCGATTTGGAAG